TGGACAACCTATAGCACTCACCATTGATTATTCTATGCAACATGTCCTTTATTGGGCTGATAGTAAACTTAACACCATTGAATCTATTGAACAAGTAAATTTGAATAATTTTATTTAATTCAGTTTATTGAATTCAATCTCATTCATTTCCAAAAATATTAATTTTTCTTTAGGATGGATCAAATAGAAAAGTAATCCTTAAAGGGGACAGTTTGAAACATCCAATTTCTTTGGATGTTTTTGAAAATAGTTTGTATTGGATAACAAAGAGAACTGGTGAATTAATCAGACAAGATAAATTTGGTAGAGGCGTGCCAGAGATTATTGTCAAGCATGTACCCAACTCAGGAGGAGTTAAAGTGTATCATCAACAAAGATATAATATTTCCTTAAGGAATCTTTGTCACGAAGATCAATGCACACATTTGTGTGTTCCTATCCCTGGTGGTAATCGGTGTCTTTGCTCAGATAGTATTGGTCCTCTTCAACAAAGAGAGACTATACGATCAAACGAACGTCATTGTGATGCAACTAATGAAAGACCTCTTCCTGCACCGAGAATTTGTCCTTGTAGAAATGGTGGACTATGTCAAGAAATCGAAGATAAATTGCAATGTGATTGTCCAGCTCCATTTCATGGAGAATTCTGTGAGATTATGTTAGGAGCTAGGTCCACTAATGTCACTGCTGCCATTGTGATACCTATTGTTGTTTCTATTTTGGTTTTATTTGGAGCTGCAGCTATTATTATGGTACTGAAGAAGCGACCTTTGTGAGTTTTTTTTTTATTTTCTTTATGTTAAATTTTCTAAATTTAGAATGTTGATAGACACAATTATTTATAATAAAATTCTTATTAATTTTAATTTAGATTTAGACCTTATATATAAGGTATGTAATATTATTATATCCTAAGTATTAATAGGATATCCTATTATATCTTAAATATTGATATTTATAATTAAACTTTATTATAAATAATGACCACTAAAATTCTTTATTTTTAAAATATTTTTATTCTAATTAATAAATGATGAATGATGATTAATGATTTTTATAGTGGAAAACCTGGAGGTCTTGGTAGTTTAACTGGTGCTCAAAGTGTATCCTTCAGGCAAGGAAGTAATGTTGAATTTGGCATACCTGCTCACGAAAGAATGGTATGTATTATAATTGTAATGTATTATAATATAACTATTTCTACATTTTATATATTTATAATATTTTAAAATTTTAAAATAATTACGAGTAATATTAAGTAATATTAAATAATATTAAATAATATTAAATATTATTAAATATTATTAAACGAAATATAATATGTAGTCCTTATATGTAGTTCTTATATATAGTCCTTATATGTAGTTCTTATATATATAGTTCTTATTATATTATTGTATATTATTGTGTATTATATTATTAAATAGGAACCTCTGGATGTGGAGTACAATCTTGGTGATGTTAGTAACAAAAACAGGGATTTCAGTAATCCCATGTATGATGCAGTGAACACAGAAACAGGTGCAACAAATGGTACTGGTGCAAGCAGCAGATATGAACTACCAGCTGAAATGAAACCATCTAGTATTCAGCATAAAGAGCCACCACAGTTGCATTTAAAAAGAAGAGAGCTTGATCCAACAGCCATTGATTCGGGAAAAGACACGCAACAGTTGGTCGAGGAAGACAAGTCCGAGTGTTAGATAGTTTAACAATTTTGTGCAGTGATGTAGTTAGAATTTTCTGATGATTTTGAAAAGAACAGACTCACTTAAATAACATATTGATTTAAGAATTTAATGAATGATAATGTGATGTATCTATTTACAAATTTATTACAATTGTTATTTGTTATATCTGAAAACATGTTATCGATTTAGAACATAATAACTATCAATATTTTATAAATTGAAATAGTTCCGAATCGTGTTATTTTATGGTTTAATAATATGGTTTATAGGATTTTTTAATATTCATATAAGTATTATTTATCTTTGACAAAGGAATTTTTCATAAAACACAAGACTGAATATATTCGATATATTTTTTATAATTTTTACATGTCTTTGTAAAATTCTAGAAGGAAATATGATAAAATTATAATTAAATTTAAATTATATAATTAAATTTATAACTTATTTACAGGAAGTTTAAAGAATAAGGAGATATAAGAATGCATCTGACTACGTCACTGCTTCTATAGGAATACTCTCGCATCTATAATACTTTTATCTCAATATAATTTCAACTAATAATGTTGAAAGAATAGCCAACAAAATTGAATACATTAAAACACAGAAAAAAAAATAACAACATTAACAAAATGAGGGAAAAATGTATTCATTTTTTTGTTATATATTGAGATTAAAGTGCAATTAGTGACGAGTTTATGTCATCTTAGGTGCGATTTGTAAGTCTTGTAAATATGATTATCACAAAATATTAACTTCACATTGTCCTTGTACCATAATGAACGAAACATTCCATATTATTTTTTTTGAAGAGGCGAATTAGAATGGGTTTTAAGGGACTATACGTTTAAAAAAAAATCTCGATAAACGAGTTACTTTACTTATTAAGCGTTTTCTTCGTGATCTAGAGGGAGACGAATCTATTTTGGAAAAGGAAAAATTGTTTTCTCTTTTCCAGTTTATTTGATCACATGTGAACGTTATTATATGTGTTTGTACATTTTTTTATGCGCAAGGAATGTCAGTGTACAGTTTTTCTTCCGTAACAACTGTGATTGTAAAAATTACAAATTGGATCCGAATATGCAAGGTGAATACTTTAAACAAAGTGTACTCATTTTTTGTACACCCTAAATATGAGTGAGAAAAGAAATCTTTTTATATTATTTCTTTCTTTCTTAAAGATTTATTTTTTAATACAGTAGAATCTCGATTATAGAAAGAACTAAACATATTTATAAGATGTATAATTTCAGAATTTATGTATTTTTGTTGTTGTATATTGCATAAAAAATTATACAGATTGTTAAATCTAATTCTTAATCAGTAACTTTTTTTTCCAATATTCATTTATTATCAAGTTAATAAAATTTTCTAGATATCAAACTTATATTTATTTTCGAATTAAATACTATATATTTTACAAATCATAACAGTAATTTATAAATTTATCAATTTATAATTTATATTTTAATTCTAAAAAGTAATGTTAAATAATATATTACTTGGTTATCTCAAAAAATTCTATATGATTCTATGATTATTTAATCAAGTTTCTACTGTAAAAAAATTATTTAATATTTTATAATTTTTTTTAATATAATGTAAAACATACATTGTATATAGATTTTACAAATCAATGAAGAAAATCACTGACTCATCTTCTTTATAAATTATATATAAAGTTATATAAATAAAAAAGTCTATATATAAATATAAATATATATGTACGTATATGTATGTATATGAGTATAGATAAATTAATCATTATCAAGAATGACTTTATCTCTTGGGCAGGGCTCTAGAGTGTTTTAATTATTATTTTTAACTATATCAGTATTTTCTGTATTTTTTATTGAGATATGATAATTGTTCATATATATATATATACATACGTGTGTATGCGTGTGCGTGCGTGCGTGCGTGCGTGTGTGTGTGTATGTATATATATATATATATATATACATACACACACATATATATATATATATCGTTTGAGCAATTGAGCAATTAAACAAGTACCGTCCAAGAATAAACATTGAATTTTATCATTGTACATTCCTCCTACCTGTAAATAGATTTAATTGTGAAAATAGAAAGGAGAACAATTAAGAATAATATTCTTTATAAAAACAAGTTTATTTGATGTTATAAATAATTTAATGAACGTACAAAAAGGAAACTATAAACCAGTTATATATTATTTTAGTTATATATTAATATTATTATTAAAGTCTGAAATTATAAAATTAAGAAATGAAATATAAATAATTATTTTATTATAAGAAATATAAAATAATAATTAAAATATAAAAATATTAAATAATCTTAATTAAAAAATATCTTTAATAAAATTGTACAGCTTCTTAATTCATGTTTTTGTAATTAAAAAAACATTAGTTATAATTTTATAATAAAAATTTAATTAGAATGACATCATAATTTAATAAATTCAGAATTATATTGTATTTGAATATATAAAAATTTTATATATTATTTTCTATGCTATATAGTTTTTATCAGTTTTTATTATTTAAAATATATATTTAAACGAATAAAATCAAAAATGTAAAATTCATCAATTTAATGAAATTTTTTATTAAATGTATATCATATATATATATCATGAATTATATATAAGATATCTTTTAAAATGCATTTGCATTTATAATAAATATAATAATAATAATAATATTAGAGAGAAAAATTTTATAATCATATGAGAATTATAAGTAATAATATATATATATATTATAATTTATTATGATAAATTTTCCTATATTTTTATATTTACATAACATTAACTCATTAAGAAATAATATGTAAAAATTCAGTAAATATTTTATTAAAATATGTAAAAAGAAATTAGAAATGAAATGTCTTAATGTGTTAATGATTGTGAAATTAATATTTAAAAGTAATAAATGTGGTGTAATAGTAAGATGATAGAATTCCTTCATATTTAATGAAATTAATTTACACTCACAGGTAAAAAATAGATGCAGCACTATTGAGAAAACAAATTTTTCAAATGATAGTTGAATAAATATTATCGCTTCTATGAATTAAAAATTCAATTATAATATCTTTTACTGAAAGAAAAGAATTATATATTAAAAAAATTTATATTTTTTTTTTCAAAAATAATTTTAAAAGAATAAGAAAAATATTATAGATGTTTCTTCAGAAAAATAATTAAAACACAAAATTGAAAACTTTAATTAATAAAATTAAATGATATTGATAAATCAGATAATAAATATGCGAAATAATTCAAAATACTAGAAAAAATATTCAAAGTAGAAAATAATAAAAAAAAAATAAATAAATTTTTGAAAATTGAATTTTCAAATTTAAAAAATAATAGTTTATTAAATTTATTCAAATTATTCCACTTTAGTTGCAGTTTGTTCATCATATTGAACAGAAGGCACCATAGGTGGTTTAAATCCATATTCCATTTTTGACTGTCTAAAGTTTCCACTATTTCCCATTATTTCTTGCCTTGTTCTTCTTAAAGTTGTCTGTATATCTGATGATGAATATAAAGATTTCGATTGTATCCCAAAAGAAGTTTGCAATTTTCGTGGTACTGAACCCATGTATTCATTTTTGACCTTATCTTTCTCTGAAATTCTTCCATAAGCAATTAAATTACCATTATTCATCGAATAAGTCATTGAATGAGATGGATATTGAATTCCATGTGGTACAAACTTCTTTGGTAACATGTGTATTAATGGTGGTTGCCTAGTATGAGGACGATTTAAGCTTAAATACTCTTGATCATAATACTGCATCGTTGAATTATAATAATCCTGTTCATTATCATAAGATTCTAAGGATTGGAAATTCTGTCTTAATGGTTGCTGATAATCACCTTGTATATTATAAAGTGAATTTAATTTAACAAGTTTGGTATTTTCTAAAGAAAATGGTCTATTTTTTTCAATTTCCATAGAATATGGTCTAGGTAAAATTTTTTCTGGTACTGGAATCGGAATAGATTTTTCTATCACTTTTTCTACCGAAATTGGAATAGGTTGAGGAACTCTGAAGTGAATTGGCAGGGGTATAACAAATTTCTGAATAGCAATTGGTACTTTTTTTTCAACTACCTTCTCCACGTGCACAGGATATGGGATTCGTATTTGTTTTTCTATAATTCTATCTATTGGTATGTGTATGGGGAATGGCTGAGGAATTGTTATCTGTTTTTCTATTACTTTCTCCATTGAGAATGGTACCTTCTTTTCTATTATTTCCACTGGATGATGAATATTTTTTTCTACAGAATATGATTGTGGTACTGACATTAAAAACTTTTGTTCAGTTGGTAGTTCACTTGTAACCTTCGTTAACAGAACTTGAGACAATTCTTGAGTTCCTTGAAGATTTTCTTGATTAGTCAGACTTGATAAATTATCGATTCCTCTTGGCTGTGGAATAATGGAGATTGATTTTTTCGGTATTTCATAGTTATTTTGTTTAACATTAGTTTCAGGATATCCTTGAAATCTAGATTGTTTAATTATTATTTGATTATACTGAGCAGTATTTATTTGTTCCTTAGCTCCAGTAGTGGATTTAGTTTCCACAGGATGAATATTAGCTAAGGTTTGATTAATTTGATCACTATTTGCCGAATAAATAATATCATTTTCATTTGAGGTATATTCATAACGATTGCGTTCTTGATTATTTGGAGAAATATTTTCGTCCAAAATCTCATTATTTTTATATACATTAATCTGACTTAGTTTTTGATCTTTGAATTGATTTTTTACGGGTTTTTTATAATCTTCTTGAAGATGTTGTTTTATCAAAGGCTGTTGAATATTAGGTACAAATTCCACAGGATAATGAATTTCTTGGATAGGTGCTGTATGAAATATTTCCACTGATTTTTGAATCTCTACTAATTGGGATGGTGAGTTTGTGATCACTACTTCAGAATTCTGCTGTGATATTTGATCATTTTGGAAGCTGGAGTTCTTAAAATCTGAAACATCACTTTGAATTAAACTTTCACTATCAATTTCAGTAGCTTTTACAGTATTAGTTTGATTTTGAAGATACAATTTTGTCAAAGTATCTTGATCATTGACTGAATTTAGATCCTGTCCTGCATTCATCAAGGCAACACCAACTTGAAGAGGATTTAAAATAATAGTTGATGCTGCTAAATAACCATTCTCTGACACTTTTGATTTTAGCGGTTTTATGGTTGATTTTGATATTTCATTGCTTTCAGTATAATTATCTGTATTTGCATAAGAATATTTCTTTTGTTGTGGGAAATCAGGAACTACTATTGGTCCAGAAAATTTTCCCAAAGAAACCGATACTATAGGAGCAAAAGTACTTGTAAAAGTGTTTTTAATTATAGTTGGATTATCGGTATAGTCTTCTTCGGTTTCTTTTTGTTTTAAAGTTTTCTGAAGTTTTGTAATTTTTGTTAAAGTAAAAGAATGTTGATCTTTCGAGAATGCATTGTGATTATTATCTGAATTATTTAGTTTTTCGTAGGAACGAAAATTTTTTCTATAATGTTCTCTATGATCCTCAGGAGGTGGAATATTGAAAAACTGTTTTAGTCGATCATGATTTTCATTGTTTTTTGATCTCAATGAACGAACTCGTTGCCCAAATTCTTTTATGCCTTCATCATCTATATTTTCTTTGGAATTTATTTGACGAAGATCATTGGAGCCAATATTCTGAAGAGAATATTTAGTGGTTGTTAAATTTTGTACAATGACTTCTTGAGAAGGAATATATTGAACTGTGACTGTTTCGTTAGTTACACTTTGATTAATTCTTCCTAATTTTGAAATATTATCCAACGATTCATTTGAAATGTTTTCTAACATGCTTTTTATTTTTAAAGGTAGAACATATGGTTGAACTACTTGCATGGAAAATTGCTGGGATTCATTCTGAAAAAAAAAAGAACATAATTGAATTATTAATTTTGAGATATATTACTAATGGAAAAAAAATATATTTAAAGATTTTTTATAAATATTCTTAATATTATAATATTATAATATTATAATATTATTCTGAATATTAATATATAAATCCTTAAATAATTAATCAAATATAATATCTTTAATTGTGGTTAATTTACATTATTTTAATAAAGAATAAAGAATAAAGAAAAAGAAGAAAAATTTTTATTCTTAGATAAATATTATAACCAATTATAAATATTTACGAATATTTATATATATTTATAAAAAAACGAATATGAACAAAATGCAATAAATAATTGTTACAAAATTAAACATCATTGCATATTAACATAATGCATAATAAAAGTGCATATTTATAAGAAGATTATTGAAAAATGAAAATATGCAATTCATATGAATTTATTCATGTGATCAATTATTTAAAGAATGATCTTTTATTTTGATTTGTTAAAAATAAGTTATGTTTATGTCACGTATGTTGAAAAAAATATTCTATTTTTTACGCATATTTATTATTGAATAGAATGACGCAAATATTTTTCGATATGATTAGTCAATACTCGTGGCATCGAAAGCGAATTACTTTCCACTAATCAGGAAGGGAAAGCGAGGAAATCGCTGTTCCTTGAATTGAAAAATTGATTATTTATAGATATCTATTAATTCATTAAAAATCATTTTTATCTTAATATTTCATTTATATTTTTTTTATTAATTAGTTCACAATACTTATATTATTTTAATTTTATAGTTTTTTATAATTTTGTAAAAATGAATTCCAAGGATTTATTTAATATTTTTTTTTTTTTTGAGACACATATTATTTTTATGTTTTTACATTTTTTTCTCAAAATATTGATTTTTTTATATTTGATATATATATTTTTACATATATCTGTACATTAAAAAATTATCCCGATCCGAAAATTGATATATATATATATATATATATATATATATATGAATGTGACACGTAAGAAATCTCCAGTTATTCAATACGAATAATCAATACTAACCATTTTATAACTTTTTTCGTTTCTGTTAATAAATTTGACAACCAGCGATGCTTCTTCTTTTTTATTAATAGTCTGAGAGAAATCAAAGATTCTTTCATTTCGATTTTGAGATTGATCTTCGAGATGTTTGATTTCTTCCTTTTTTTGAATATCGAATGATTTATGTTCATAAGCGTATTTTAAAAACTCTTATAAAACAATTTTAGAATATCAGATTTTATTCCATAATAAAACTTCAAATATAAAAATTTTATTTTATATTATAGACATATTTTTTTAACATAAAAATCACGCATTTTTCAATTTAGGTTTTAGGTTTTCAAAAATTTTGAAAAAAAATCACATTTATACTTCGTTATTTAATAAAATTTTAAAAGATTGTTAAATAAAATTTAGTGTTTAATAGTTTTTAATAATCAAAATATAATCAAGATGTAGAAAAATGAAAGCAATACACTTTAAACAATTTACTCAATATTCCTTTTGTTTCATGAATCTTTCTTGTTTTTCAATTATAATAAAATATTAAAAAAGAGTTTAAAAATTAGAATATAATTTTAAAAAATATTTGAAAAATGATAAGAATATTTGAATTAATATTTTTAACAATTTCATTTAATTTTTTTTTTCATTTAATTTTTCATTTAATTTTTTCCATTATCAGAAGAACTGAAGTTCCAATCAGAGAAATGATACTCTATATAGCTTGTACCACTTATTGAGACACGAGTCAATGGGCGAGGCCGAGCATCTGACCCAATTTGTTCATGGTAGAAGTAGAAAACAGATCATGAAAAGGTTCTAGAAATGAAACTCTTGATTCTGAGTGTGGCCAAACAAAAATAGAAAATTGTTTAACCTGATAATTTTAATAAAAATTAATGATCTTGGCTCAAAAAGTATGATTCTTTTTATTAATTAAATAACTGAAGAAAAAAATCTTTTAAATAACCGAAGAAAACACTTTTATTTGCGAATAATCTAAACAACTTTTGAAGAAGAAGTTTCCACTTTTGGTAAATTTAATGTTTCTTCGAAAACTTCGAAAGAAGTGCACAATAACATTTTTCAAGTATTAATTTTTTTTTACTAATTGATTGAAAATTATATTTTATGAGAATTTATATCAATATAATTGAGAATTTAAACGAATATTTCTAAACGAAATTTTCGTTTTCCATACATCTAATGTCTTTTCAGAAATGACAGAAAGAAACAGAATGATCAGAGACGAAAAATAAAAATTTCCTTTTGAAAAAAATTAAAATTGTTTCAATTAATTTTTATATATATATAAAATATATATATATATTTTTCCTTTATTGGGATGTCCTTTGTAAATTGATTATTTTATTCTCTTAAATTAAATTTTCCTAGGAATACAGTGAATCGAAAGAGATCATAGAAGATCTAGAATGATAAAATACAAAATTTTTGCTTAAATGGAATATCATTGAGTGCGAGAAGATTGAAAATAACGCTGGCCAGACGACATGAGAGAAAGGTGGACATTACTACCGGTCTCCCTTTCTCCAGTACCATTCGAGCGAGAAGAAAGGCGAAACGGGAAAAGATGCGCGCCGCATTCTTGCAGCTCGTGCAAAAGAAAAACCAGTGAGAGTCGTGCATCAGTCGTCGATCTTATCAAAAGCAAGCTATTTTAATCAAACTTGTATTGAAACACATTATCAAGAAAACTTAAAAGAATAGTTTTCTTCAATTTCTTTTTACCAATCTTATCTAATGCTTTTCATATTATAGTTTGCTTTGAAATGGACTATTTTTTACTTGTTTTTAAATTAGCAATTTCCAATAACAATTTCTTTTTATAGCATAAAAAAATTTTCATAGATTTCATAGAATTATTGTGTTTTTATACAACAAAAGTTTAACCATTTCCGACGAATTTGCTAGAGAACTGGTCTGATAATTGCTAGAAAGAACTACTAGAGAAATTTACGATGTGGCTTGGGAAGGTTCTTCGAAGTTTTTCTTCCCAAATGGGGATTCCCCGAATGAAGTCATATCGCTGTTTTCACTTGTTCTGAATTTTTTTCAGAATATTGGGAATGATCGTTGAATAATGTTTCGCAAGATGAAATCAGAAATGACTAAAAAAGATATTAAATGAAACTTTGAAGAAGGATTTACTTCTTATTTATATGTTTTATAATAATTAAAATCGCATTAATCATAGTTTAGCAATTATCCAATGAAAAAGATATTTTTACTGTTGAAATGAATATTTCAGAGAAAATTAAGATATTAATTTCCCTTTCATTTGGAGTAGAAGAAAGAGAGCAAAACGTTTATAAATGAACGGAATTTATTTTTATAGCGTAGTTACGTGTGCAAAATTGTCCTGCTGGAACATTCTTTTCAGACACGCGACCAACAAAGGACAGTACTTTCACTATTTTATGCCTCATAAAAAAAAGAATGAAAAAATGATCAATGTCTTTATCAGAGACTGTGATTATTACACTTTCAAGATCTTGCACTTTTTATATGATGTAGTTCTAATAAATATGTCTCCAGTAATTTAATCATTGGCAGAAAATTTTATTAGAAATTCATAATAGAAGATTTTTTTCTAGATCGTCCAATAATAATTTTCTTAATTATGAAGGAAAATTTCTCTTGGGATTGAATTACAAATGAAAAATTTCTTCAAATATTAAATTATTAGTGATACATTTTTTTCGAGACATGTAAACTGATAATTGAATTAAAGTAAGTTAATTGAAGCAGAGGAAATATAAAAGATTAGAAAGAAATTATAAAAGGATTTATCGCTTCGTGAAAAAGGAGTAGGAGGAGAAGAGAAAGAGAAAGGAAACGAACAGGATTGTTTATATCGAATTTTTGACAGTAGGTGGGTCAATCAGCTTTCATCCGAAAGTGCGTGGAGAAAGTATTCGCTTTTTTCCCAGATTCTTCAATACACCTCCAATACGCACCTCTAATTATTTTTTGTAAATAAATATATCTTAATTTTTGAATATTAAAATTCCAATATAAAATTATTAATTTAATGTAAGTATTCATATATATATATATGTTTTTCTTAGACAAAAAAAAAAAATAAGATGAAGATATGAAGAGTAATAGAATATTATCATATATTTTCTTTGAACTAATAATTAAACAATATTTTGTAACATTATTTTGTTTCTAATCGATGTGACTATTAATTATTAGATTTCTAGCAATTAATGATTGAATAACATTTTTTTTCTTTATCTGGATCGTAGATTGCAAACTCTAATTACAGGAGATTTTATTTCGCGTTGGACAGCAAGTGACCTACAGAATTACATTTGAAGAGAAAGTAGAATAAGTATGAAATGATTTTGCCCTTATCTTAAGAATTTAATGACAATGAGAATAAACGAAATAATATTTAATGATATGTAGTATCTTGTGAAACTTGAATAATTTGCTAGATAATCATTAACATACAACAATTTAAAATGAATATAACATGAAAATCAAATTATAATAATCATTTGAGAAATCAATAAATTATAAAGATATTAATAAAATATCAAAGTGAATTATAATATAATTTTAAATGATTTATAAAATTTGATAAAAAATGAAATTAATTTAAATTAAAAAAATTAATAAAATAAAAATTATGTAACAAAAATAATAAAATTACACAAACATTTTAATCAATAATAAATTTCACTAGATTATATTAAACTCAGCAAAGATTAAATCTAAAACTACCAATCTTATTTAAAACAAGACGATTGTACAAACTTGTATTTCCTGTCATAAAACTAAATGGATTTAAGTATATAATTTAAGACTTATGATAGAAGAAAAGAACATACAAGTATTCTAGTCGTTTCTCGAACCGTGTAATGACATATAATGTTGTTTGTGAATAAGCATTTTCTAAGAAGAAACATAGAGGGAAAGTGTAAATTATATTTTGTTAGATGGATTTGCAGGAAGAGAATGAGACACAAGTGAAATGACCTAGGCTGTATGCGAAGGTTAAGGACAACTTTCACCTAAAATGGTTAAGAAGGACTTTGACTGGAGGAGGAAGAAGGAAGACTATGTTCACAACTGGTAACTAGAAGCAACAAAAAATTTTTAACAATTTTTTTAAAGTAAGATTTTCGAAAACTTCTTTGATCTCTCATCACAATATTTTAATATCACTTTATATTTTTATATATATATATAATAAATATATATTTTTTAAATATATATATTTCTTTTTATGCAATTAAAAATACAATGAATATGCAATTAAACAAACTAACAAATAAATAAATAAATAAATAAATAAATTATATTTAAAACACTGTCACTATAATTAAGTTTTTTTCAAGTTTGTTGGCAGATACCTAAAATCTGCGTCTTTAAATTTTCATTATTAAAAAATAAAACGAAAATAAGCGTATCTTTGTTAAATAAAAAATATTTCTATATATCCATTATCATTATATCAATTTTGATAAATTTTTAATTCTGTATATATGTATATATACATATATATAATATTAATAGAATTTCTATCTCTATTTACGTGATATTCAATTTTCAAAAATCATAAACGTTTTTCTAAAAAAAATATAGACTGCACATAAAAATTAATTGCATGATCAACATACTTGTATAAGCATGTTCAAGGCGGGTAGCAATACACGAAGTAGCACTCGAATGACGCCCGCAAGTAGATCGAGGTTAAAGATTTCTATGCTTGGAGGTTAAGGATATCGTATGGTGTCTTCAATCTGTGGGGGTTATGCGTGAAAGGTTCTTCTTCCGATTTACGTAAGGCAACGAAACTTGTTCTGCATTGTTTACTCCGTATAACTAATGTTTCGAAGTTGGTTCACAATTACATTCTCAAGGCAGGCAAACGAAATTCCTCCAATTTATAATATTTGATATAGATTGAAATAGAGAAATAATAAAAATAGATTTCCTAAAAAATTATATTATAATAATATCATAATAAATCTAATAGAAAAGTAATAGTCTCATTTAATTTATGAAATTTAATTAAAGAAAATATTACATACAAAAACAGCACATACTAGATTTTTTTAATCTTTTTTATTCTTATTATTATTTAATAACAAGGAAAATTTGATTTAAGAAAAAATTCTTTCTAAATAGTAATATATTTAACAAGTTTTTAATTAAATTATGAAATTTGTAAATCTATCAATTTTGTTTACATCGATCAACTTATTTATTGACATTCGTGAAATAAAATTTCTTGACAACTAATTATTTTTTTGTGATCAATGTGACATCAAGAAATTGGTAGATGATCAGTAGTTCCATTTATAAAATTAAATATGAGCAATAACATGCGACGCATTAATTTCATGTAAATAAGAAAAACTTTCTAAGTTATGAAGATTATTGAAGAGGGATGAAAATGAAAATGAATGGAAAATGAATGGTTTGGTAAATTTCTCGAGGTAGATACGGTATTAATATATCCTCGACGGCATCGTTTCTTTTACTTGATAATTGAAATTCTCTCTCTTGGATTGCAAGTTGTTATCTAATCTGAACTTTTACATTGCGAAGAGGAATTCCCTTTTCTTATAACAAACATTATTAAATTTAATAAAAATTTTAAATAAAATAAAATATCTTTTTAATGAGAGATATTTATTTAATTCTTATAAGATAACAATAAAAAAATAAATTTGTATAATCATTCAATTTAATAAATATTATAAATATTTATTTAAAAATAGGAATATTATTATAAAAAAAGAGATAAAAAATTATATGTAATATTAAATAAAAATTATAATTAAGAAAAAAATAATTTAATTAAAAAATAAAAAGTTATAAATATATATAAATAGAAGTATAAAATTCTGTGATGTTTAATTTGAATATTTGAAATATATATATTGAATACAAATATATCTCAATATGCAATCAGAATTGAAATCATCATTGGGAAAATAAAATTACTTCGGAAAAAATTTGGAAATTGTATATTATAATAAACAGGAAAGTTTACGTTTACCTTTTCGTTGCTCCAGTTTTCATGGGAATCAGATTCCAATGTCGCTGTCACGGTTGCTATCCATATAACCACAGAAATCTGAAAAAGAAGAGATTTGTTTCATCAATTTCTTTTTTCTTTTTTATTATATATCATACATCTTCTTATATATAGATAAAAAAATCATGAATAATAAATAGGATATATAAGAATAAAATAATAAGAATATAATAAATCATATATAACAAATGGATTATTAAATCGTTGAAATTTATCTTTTAATATTTCTTCTTTGCAAAATTTTTAATAATAAAAATAATTTAATTTTTAATAGAATGATTGATAAATTAAATGAAATTATAATTAACAATAATTGAATATGAAATAATTGGAATATGAATATCATTCATATGGAAAAAATTACTCAGATCATAATGTGAATATAAAGAATATAATGGAATACATATTATTATTATTATAAAATGAAATATTAATCTCTTTGCTAATAGTAATTATATATACATATATATAACTTATTAACACATTGAATGTATTAATACTATTATTCCAAGTTTATTTTCAATTCTTCAATGGAATTGTATTACAAATTAATTACTTTCTATTTATTTTATAATGTAATGTGCTTACAAATTATATAATGAACATTAATTTAAATTTATGAACATTTTTTTAAACTGATAATATAAAAGCTTATTAAATATTAAATTTTTTAATTTGAATTTTTATTATATTTTATTTTATTATATATTATTCTTTTGTTACAATATTTAGCTGTTATATTCTTTTTAATATTCGAATAAATATTTTCATAATATTATGTTAATTTTATAAAATTACAAAATGAAAAATATAGTAATGAGGCAGGATAAAAACCACTTACGAAATAATGCAGATTCATGTCTTTTATATTCTGATTAATAACTCATTGAACAGTAATTTTTGTTCTCCCTAAACTTCCAGGATGTTCTTCTCTATTCTCTTATACGATGCCAATCCTCTCGATCCGATGCACACACTCCGAAAAGAAACAGTGTACTACTTCGTCTTGATGCGATACACTTGACTTAACTGGTAGCTCCAGTTATCCCCACGCATCAAAGGAGCTCAAAGAGAGCTAATACGATCACTTCTAAAGATCCCTTGATCATATCGAATGCATTATCGATATTTTATATAGACAAATATGATTTGAAGCAAATAAAAAATTAAAATGAACTTGGAATGTATTATAAAAAGTTCAAGAAGTAGTGCATAAATTGTAAATCAACATGTTCATAAGTAGTAATTTTTTTCATTTTGCTAGTATTACTATCAGTTAAAATAAAAAAATAAAAAAGTTTAATTTCTGTTATTAAGACAAAAATAAAAATTATATTATTTACTATTAATAAATGTTATATTAAATAAAAAATTTAAAATTAAAAAATTTTTCCATTACAAATTCATAGAAAAAAATATTAAATTTTAAAAATATTAATTAAATATATTGTATTTTCATTTGAAATAATCATTCAAGTTATTGTTATACAGTATATAATGAAATATCTGAAAGTAGTTATTTAAAATATTATTCAGCATAAAGTTTTTGAATAATTTTTTAATTAAAAATGAATCACAATCATTCAAAATATCTGTTATATGTATATATAACGTTATATAAAAATAAAGTTGTATATAAACTAACTTTGCATTTTACAAATGTATTGCATAATATTCAGCTAGAAGAATGATTATATAAATAAAGTAAATAATCAAAATTTGTTTAAAACAAATACTAATAATTAAAAAAAAAAATGTTTCTATAATATAAAAAATTCATTTCATATAAAGTATATGTTTTTAATCATTTCTATGTATATTTGTCCAGAATACCTCCTGATATCTACTTAATTAAAAAAAAATCCTGAAAAAATATATATTTAATATATATCTAAATAGAAAAAAAATAGTTGGACATAATCCAACAGAATATATTAATAGAATATCAAAATAAATTCTTAAGCAGAATTTGTCAAAACAGATTAATTATTATATTTTGAAACAGTTCGTTTAATATATATGATATATATGATATATGATTTTTTTTTTATATAATTTACCATTGAAGAAAGAAGACAAAAAATAATCCCTAATTATTTGATTTCATTCTTTACTTTCAATTATCTTTCACTATTTCGCGATTGTGCGTGTAATCTTTTTTTTTTCTTATTAGAGTAAACGAAAATTAAATATTTGAAATAATTAAAAAAATATATAATATATATTAATATAATATTATATAATATTAATATAATATAATAGAATATTAATATATTCATATCTTTAAATTTTTCAAAAGACCAAAATAAACACAAAAACGCAAAAATGTCGATTGAGACTTATTTATTAAATTGATAAACAATTGATATTTATGTTAACAAAATAAAATAGATATAATGAAATAGCTCTATCTCTCTTATATTATTGTCTGACTTATTTTATTTAATAGAAATTTAAATTGTTTATAATTTAATAACAATCATACATTTTTATACATCAACTTTTATATTTGTTTAGACATTTAGAAATTCGATTTTCCAAAAATTTTATGTATATATAATTAACATTATATATACAATATATACAATTTAAAGAAATAATATATATGATAATGCATAAATGCATTCATATATGAATGATACCATTATTATATTTGATAATATAATTATTTTTTAACCAATTATTACCATTATTTAATTTGATAATACAATTAATAATATTATTATTCGTAGTTATTATTTAATAACAGAGAGAAAATTATAATCCCAAATAATAATTTAATTGTGAAATCAAAATCACACAGTTTTATAGCTTAACCATGCATATAATATAATATAATATAATATAATATAGAATATACGATATACTAACCATTCTCAGTTCATGAAATATTTATAAATTTATAATTATCATATCTATTGCATTTTTCTCATCCAATATCTGAACAAAATTTTAATAATATTAAATATCTAATAATAATATTAGAAAAATATTCCAATAGTATCAATGATTCCAATAGTATCATCATTGTAAACGCTGTCATCAAATAGGAAAATATAAAAATTAAGAAAAATTTAAAAAAACTAAATGAATAAACTAATATAAAATAATTTATATAAATATGTTTTATATATATATATATATATATGTGTATTACAAGTTATCGCCTTAGAAATATATTATAAAATTGAGAATATAATATCTATATTTTATGTTAATTAAAATATATTATAGTTTTGAAAAAGAAATGATGAAAGTATATTCAATTGACATTCCATATCTTATCTAGTTTCACGTCAAGTGCAACCAAAAAAAGTAAGAGTAAAATTATAAATAGTGAGAGAAAAACAGAAATAAATTAAAAATTAAGAAATCAACGCCATCTTTTGAGTGTAGGAGATATTTTTTCAAAAGTAGGATAAGATAAAATAAGAATTAAATATCAGTGCCATCTTTTGAGTATTTTTGAAAATAATTTAATTATTAGAAAATTTTAGTTTAGAAGAATTGATAAATTTATTTTTATAAAAAAATATCAGATTGATTTTAATTTGATTTTAATATTAATTTTAATTGTGTTGTAATAAAAATTACGAACATGATTCAAATTATATAAATATATTCATTTAAAGTTTATTTACAGATAGTTACTTTTGCTATTATTGATACTGCTGATAGCGCACATCTTGCCTGCCAAGAATGATTACTGAGTGGAGAGAGGTACATGAGTGCCATAGATCAATGATTTAAATTTTCAAATTATATTATATTATATTTATAAATATATACTAAATTTCATTTTTACTTTAAACTTTTGAGATTTTATAAAATAAAAAAATAAATTTATTACATAAAGCATTTATTTTAAAGAATTTTTCAAAATAAAATATAATCGATAAATGTTAACAAGGAAATTGTTTTTATTAGCTGTTCAACTAGATTTACTTCCTAAAATCAACGTACGGTTCGTGACTAGCAGAATAAAGTAGACTACAAATAGAAGTAAAATTCAGTAAAGATGGTGATACACGGGGAATTGGTGGAATGCTTTTAACAATTAAATATCTAAATTAGTAGTAAATAATTGTTCGTATTTCGGTCAATATGTAAGTGAGGATTCATGAGTTTGCAGCTGATAATAATAAACACGTATCAATTTGGAAAGTGGGACAAAAGTCGCCAAAAACGAAGGTACGACAGGATGCTTTGTTTATGGAGATCAGCTGTGTTACCAAACATTCCTATCGCTTTCGCTGCAGCGTCTACGACGCTTCTATTTTCGTCGAATAAAGGTCAGCCAAAAGCATAGACAAAAGTGATGCTTGATGCACAAACGCGATACATCGTAAGCTAGGCTTATATTGATAATTTTATAAAATCGGAAAGATTTCATCTCGTAAAACATAAAAAATTGAATACAAAATCCTTTTATCGAAGTGCAAGTCCAATTTTTATGACACATTCAATGATCGTTCAATCTCTTAATTCTTTTAATATATCTAAACTTTACTGTTGTACATGTATATATATATGTACGTATGTATGTACATTTCTAATTTTTCAATATCAGCGATGCGAATATTTTAATATTTTTTGCATGATATTAATTTCATTCAAATGCTTCCAAAAAAATTAAATGAAAATATAATGATTAACAATTTTTTTTTTAAATATTAGTATCTTCATTGATACAAAGCACATACTTATAAAAATATGATTCAAGAGTGAATTTATAATTGATTAAAAAACATTGATGCAATCTTTAGATAAGAGAAGAATTGTCAAGTGATGAACAAAGAATCAATAGAAGACAAAGAAGAGTTCACAAAAGTTTCATTCCTTTCAATATATATAATAATAAAAATGAAATGCAATATGCAAACTAATAGACAAATATAAATGCATTTTATATGGCTTTAACAAGTTCATTTGGTGGGTACCTTACATTTTAGATGTGGAGCAACCGTCAACCGGTAGTTAATTATTCTTAATGACATGTGAGAATGAAACGAGAAACTGTCATTACTTGTGTAGAGCCAAACCGACGAGCAAAAACGGTAAGATTATATTCTTAAGATGATATTTATTATGATGTATTTGTCACATATATTTTGTTGTTTTTATTATTTTTTCAATATTATTTTTAACTAATTTGCTTTCATATTAACTAGTTTGCTTTCATATTCTTTCAAAAATGATGATTCTATTTTTTGCATTGATTTAAAATTTTTTTTTTAATTTATTATCAAATATTATATAAATTTTTTGCTATATTCATGAAATATTTAATAATAAATTTAAAAAGATAATATTTCTAGATGACAACGGTATTGGATGGCAGCTATCAACGTATGGAGCCATATGATGGAGAAGAAGAGGATGGAGAAGATGATGATGAACATGAAGAAACACCACAGGAATCTGGTGTTATGATACATGTAGTACCAGAAGGAAATAAAGCAAGATGGAATCATGTTGAAGATTTAGATTCATTTTTTACAAGAATGTACCATTATCATCAAAAACATGGATTTGCTTGTATGATACTTCAAGAAGCGCTTGAACTAGGACAATTCATTTTTGTAGTTACTTTTTCAACTTTCCTTTTTCACTGCATCAATTATTCTCTATTGTTTAAGTGAGATTTTGTTAAAAATATTAATATAATTATTGATATGGTAAGAAGATTCAGATTGATGAGATTGATATAATTCCAGGAACGGAAAGGAAAGAAAAATTTCGATAAGTGACGTAATTTTATCAACGAGCGAATGTGTAGCATCTATGGGTCTGATTACTTGGATCTGTATTTTAGTAGCTGCAATATTTTGGATCTTGCGATTGGTAAAAGTTTTGTATCATTGCACGCAGTTTTGGGACATAAAGCTTTTTTTTAACACCGCGCTGAAAATTGAAGACTGCGATCTGGACAATCTTACATGGCATGAAATACAAAAGCGTGTCAGAGAAGTGCAAAAAGAACAAGAAATGTGCATTCATAAAAGAGAGCTTACAGAATTAGATATATATCATAGAATATTAAGATTTAAAAATTATATGGTGGCTATGATCAATAAATCCTTGTTACCAATTCGACTTAAAGTCCCTATTATAGGAGAAATTATTTTCCTGACAAGAGGATTAAAATACAATATGGAATTACTTTTGTTTTGTAAGCATTAAATATTTATATAATTATATAATATTATATAATAAATATATAATATATTATATATTATATATATAAATATATATATATATATTTATATAATAAATATTATATATATTAGTTAAATTTGCCAGTTTGCTATAAATTATTCTTATATACAGGGGGACCATGGTCTCCATTTGAAAATAATTGGCATCTTAAAGAAGACTATAAAAAATTAAATAAAAGACAAGAGCTTGCAAGAGCTTTATCTAAACATATTTTATGGGTTGGAATTGTAAATTTTCTACTTTGCCCATTAATTTTATTATGGCAGATACTCTATTCGTTTTTTAATTACGGTGAGGTGAGTAATTTTATTTAAATCGCGATAAATTTCCCACTCGATATATATATTTCGTGTCGTAGGAATAATCGTATTGGAAAATATTTCTGTCTCGAACAGATCATCAAGCGAGAACCAGGAACTTTAGGTACAAGAATGTGGTCTTTATACGGTCGATTGTATCTTCGTCATTTCAACGAACTCGATCATGAATTAAATGCCCGCTTAAATCGTGCGTACCGTCCTGCCTCGAAATATATGAGCATGTTTACATCTCCTATTATGACAGTTATTGCAAAGAATGTTGCTTTTGTGGCTGGAAGTATATTGGCAGTTTTATTAATATTAACAGTATATGATGAAGATGTACTAACGGTGGAACATGTATTGACTACTATAACCATACTAGGTGCAATAGTAGCAGGCGCAAGAGCATTTATACCTGATGAAAATTTAGTGTGGTGTCCGGAGACTCTTTTAACCGCTGTTCTAGCACATACACATTATAGACCTGATAGTTGGCGAGGTCATGCTCATACTCAAACTACAAGAGCAGAAGTAGCACAATTATTTCAATATCGTGCAGTCCATCTTTTAGAAGAACTAATTTCCCCTTTGGTTACACCGTTTATTCTATGTTTTCGTATGAGACAACGAGCCTTAGATATTGTTGACTTCTATCGTAATTTTACAATCGAAGTCACAGGAGTTGGAGATGTTTGTAGTTTTGCACAAATGGATGTGCGAAAACATGGAAATCCAATGTGGCAGACAGCGGCTCAAATTCCTGTCCCAGATCGGGCTGCGAAATATGATAATCAATATGCTACAGATCCAGAGAAACTTCAAATTCCTATTTCGGATCAGTATACTCAAGCAGAAGATGGGAAAACGGAATTGTCTCTTATACATTTTACCTTAACGAATCCTGAATGGAAACCACCAAGTCATGCTGAAAATTTTGTCACAGCCTTAAGAGAAAGAGTAAAGAAAGATGTACATGGAGGCGGACATGAAATCAATCCCCTTCTAGCAAGCTTAAATAGTTTATCTGGTTTAGGACCAGGCGTAAGTGTTTAGATTTTAATTTGAGATCAAATTGACATTAAATTTAATTTGCTCAATTATTTCAGTACAACGATATTATATCAAACATAATTCGAAGCACAATAGTAAATCAAGCAAGTGGGCCAAGCACGAGTACTATGTTTACTAATCAACCTTGTACCACTTCTGTTTGTACTTCCGGAAATGAAATGTTGAACATGAAATCAGACATATTTCCGCACGCAGTTCAATGTGGCTTAAGCAAAGCTGAAGGTCCTGTACATAATGAAAAAGGATTATTGTATGGGTTACAACAAGAAATATCAAATCAATCTTTAGGCGCCTCTGTCTTTGTATCGAGTCATGAATTTTCTACTGATTTATCTATACCAGTGGAATTAATTGCTGCTGATATGTCACTATCTACATTGTACCTGCATGAACTTCATCATAGACAAGTAAGATTTTTTTCTCTATTTAATTCTTTACTATTTTAAAAGAAAAAAAAAAATTCTAAGGAAAACAATAAAAAAACTTAAGAAAAATGATAAATATTAAATAATTCTAAATTACAGGTTCGTAGAAGGGGCTATCAAGAATTGGCTATGAGAAGTGTATGGCAACGAAGTCCTGTTCAAGAGCTTGCTACCCTTCCTGAAGTTAGACAAGAAAGAGCACCCTTGCTCTTACATCAGGATTCTTCAATAAGAAATAACAGAGAATTTAAATATAATTTAAACACTCATTTAGATAGCATCTGAATCTTAAGTGCAGTGATATCATCACTTTTAACAAAATAAAATATTTTAATTCGCTTTACAACACGATGTCCTCGTGATTTACTTTATAGCAAGAGAATAGCTTGAACGTTTAAGAATCTGTGTTATTGATGTAAATACAATATTGAAATATTCGTTAATTAGACTCGATTAGAAAATGAACGATCTCAAATGCCTATTTTAATTCTAAAGGCCTACGTGTGTGTATTTTGCGCATCAAATGCTTATAAATATTTCCTGAAATTGTACTAAATTTTTTAATATTATTATGTTGCATTATAACATAAGGATTACAATATGATAATAGAAATATGAAATAGAAATCACTTATCATAGATTTATGAAATAAAAATTTCAGTCTTTTTACATTTCATTATAGTAAATATAAAACACTAATTCTTTTTTCTCTCTCTCTTTTTTGAAACTAAATACTAAAATATATTTTTGGATGTATGCACTGTGTGTCTGCGTGTGATAAAATCAGCTCTAGTTTTCAATGCCACAATTCTCTAGTCATATGAAGTGAATCACACGCCATAGCATAAAGAATTATTTATTTATTAAAATATAGTTACTCTCGATAAGCACGATGGCTGAATATTAATGATTGCTGCAATATGCAAAAAATCGCTTATAAAAGATATATTGAGATATATTTCTTTTTTTTAATACTGTTATACAATGCAGCTAATCATTAAAAATGCAAACTGTATGTTTCGAAAATTTATAAGTCATAAATTTTATAAATTAATAACAACTTAATTTATTATGTTTATTTTTCGTTAGAATTCGATAACTCATGAATACAGATTCTTATCGTGATCAAACAGCTACGATCCATATATTTTAAGAATCTTTCAAATAAAACAACATATAATGAAAAAAATAAGAAACCATTTCACAAAAATTTTAATATAATTCTATAAAAAAAACTTTAAAAAAAAAACAATAATAATAATAATAATGATGATATTAATTTAAGAATACTTTGTAATTTACCATTATAACATATAAAAAATAAATATGTTACATAATAATTTTCATAAAAACGAAATTTTTTTGTTCATATATGTATACAAATGTAATTTAACAAAAGACTATCGAAAAATATGACTGATGAAAAAATATTATTTATAAAACATGAACACTCATCAAAGTTATAGAAATTCACCAACAAATTGGACATTAGGAGACGCCATGAAATATAATTTACGGTGCAACCGAAATATTAGCGAAAAGATGACGAAAAAAGACTTCGTATACGATATTCGCCCACCAATTCAAAGTTCCAGAAAGGCAAGTTGCAAAAGTCTTTGTATATCTTCTCTTTGATGCGTTTGCTTCACTTGAATTATAATTGTTTATTTTAATGATAAATGCATTTAAAAATGAATTATCGAATATTAATTTATTAACTAAAATATAATTGAAAAACTTAATAGATACAAATTTTAATGGTTTAAAATGAAGATGACACTACTGGTGCATTAAAACATGGCGTCTTTTAACCGCGAAAAATTTTCAAGGAATGATGAAATGAAATTCTAACAAATTACGTTAAATATTAACATATTCGTTGATCAAACAATTACTTCTTGTAAATATTTTTTATGCGTTTTATTAAATATTTTATTTAAAATATTTTGAAATCTAAATTCTTCATATTAATAAATTACGCAAATCTCTATAAATTCTTGTATTTAATTTTAACGAAATTTCACTTAAATTCACACTAGTTATATTTTTAATATTTATTTTTAATATTAACAATAATAATGATTATATGTAATATGCGTCACACAATTTCTGCACGATATCTATTTTTCAAATTCGAAATATAAAAATATAAAACTATAAAAAAAAAATATGTTTTTATAGTTGGAAGAAGGAAAATATCCAATTGTACTACCACTTCAACTAAGAAAGAAACAAAGTACTGATTCAAAAGTGCCCCAATATGCTGTTATTTCGGAAAAAAACAATTACAACGAAAATGTTAATACAATAAATGTAAGTAACTGCATTTTTAATTGCTATGAATACAATATGTGCATATAAATATAAGTATAAATATAAGTATATCAATAATAATATTATATAATATAAGTAAAATAGAATATAGATATGTTTGTGATTGTATATATATTTTCCTTTTATTATTTTTTTTATTATAGATTTCAGGACAACGAACCTTGAAATTTGAATGCAATTTTTGTCACGAGCAAATAGCTACACTTTTATCATTGTCTACGCACGTAAAATGTCATCGACGAAGATATTGCAAATATTGTTACTGGATACTATCAGGAAACGAAACAATGGAAAAACATCTCGAAGATACTCATCGAATTGATCCAGGTATTACAACAAATATCTAATATATTCTCTATTGCAATATAATTCTCTATAATATTTTTTTTATGTACATAAATTGTTGATAAAGTGATTAATTTATCGATAAACATATTTATATACATATAGTAGATTAAACTTTTTGAATTTGTTATCTTCGAAATTTTTGATTAAAATATGATCTGATGTTTGATTAATATTATATCTTTTTAAATAAGATTCGTTCAAATCTCTTTATTAGAATAGATATATAGATAAAATAGATATAATCATAAATAATATTATTTTTTATAAGCATTTATATATTAATATAATAATAATATTATATAATATTTCAATCATCCATCATTAATTTAAAATATTGTAATATATATTAAAATATATATTAAATATATATAAATATAAATATATATTAAAATACTTTATATCATATCTATAAAATAAATAAAAATCATGATTGCATGGATTAGTTTATAAATTTGTACATGTATATATTCAAAGATCTGGAGCAACAGTTTTTAATATATTTCCAATATTATTTGGACAATTTTCACAGACAATATTTTGTCCTCGAAGTCGTAGATCGTTGGATAATAATTTAAGATTCTATAAAATAACAATTATTTTGATTTTATCAAAAAATCATGTATGTAAGTTTTTCATTATATAATAATGAATTTTTTTTTAATAAGAGTTTCAAATCATCATTTACCTTTGCAACTGTTACATCGATTCTTTTTACATTCTTACAATCAAGTACAACATTAAGCGAGTTTTCTTCTGAAAGTTGCATTATACTGGCTCTAAAATATTCTGCTGCTGGGAATGTAATACTTTCTTCGGGAATAATACGAATCGCGATTTTGTCTTCTATCTACAAAGAAAATATACATTCTCTTTCCACAATTAATAAAATAAATTTAATTCATTTATCTGACCTGTTCGATTTCGGTATGGACGGAAGGTCGAGCAGAGAAATATAATAATATTAGTAGATTCAAAACTATACCAATAATGATTCCCCATTCTAATTTATAAAAAACACAAAATAATAATGTAATCAACATCAGTAGAAAATCAATTTCTGAAAAACAAATGTAATGTTAATAAATTTAAAATTAAATTGTGTTTATCGCGATACTAATTCACCTACTTTTAGCACGCCATATTAATGCATATGTTTTGAAGTCGAGCATATAATACATAGAACACATTATAACACCAGCTAAAGTGGCTTTAGGAATAAAACGAAAAGTGGATGTTAACAAACTAGAAGCGAGTAAGACAAGACAACCTGAAAGAAATGAACTATGATATTAAATTAGAAATAATTTATAGGAAATCATTTATCATATATATCATATTATCATATATTAGGACAAATTTACGCATATCTTTTTTATTTACTTAATAAAATTTCTATAATAAATTCGATGATATCGTATATATACTTACCTGTAAATAAACCTCCCAAAGTTGTTTTAACTCCGGATGAGTGATTAACAGCTGTTCTTGTGAAAGAACCTGTAATTGGCATTGATCGAACGAATGAACCAAACATATTACACAAACCTAACGCGAACATTTCCTGTGTTGCATCCAAAGATTTTCCCATTGCTAAAACGATTTATTCAAAGATATTCATCATAATTAAATAAAGTCGTATAGCCGTATAATTCTTATGATTAAAGATCAATGGTTGGATCTAGTTATTTTTTATGCAATCGACATGGTAATTAGTAATAATATTAATTAAATAAGAAAAATTGAACAAATTTGAATTTATTGATGTGGATAATTTTTGATTCAGCCACCATATCTTGCGTGTTGAATTCTAACAGTCAATGATATAGCATACCAAAAGCTTTTGCTATCGCCATATGCTCAATCGTAGACACAATCGGAACAGAGAAAAGTGTTGTTCCCATAGCAGCCATTGTTTCAAGAAAATTGTATGTACGATTTCCATCTGATATTGAAAAATGTGGTAAACCAATCTGTGGTAATCCATTACCCATCGATCCTATAAAGCAATATTATATTATATTTTTTTTCTTTGTTTTTTTTATTGAATAACTTGCAATGTTTATCATATGACTTAATAAATGATTAAATATTCATGATATAATTTTTCAAATATCATGTTGCTCTTACCAGTTAGCTTGAAAGGTTCTTCATTGTTTGTGTAAAAAATATAGGCAGTCACAGTACCTATGATAACCACTAATGCATTACGTGCAAGAGTAATAGCCCAAGCAATTTTCTGTGGCCAGCTACCAATTCGACGCCCTGGTAAATTCTTAAATAAAATCGAATAAAAATTAATTTAATTTCAAATAAATCTATAATTATATAACAATAAATCATTTAAATTTGACTTTGTATCACTTAACTCATCCTTTATTTTCGATGAAGCATACAAATATACCTTTAATAAAACCAAAAGTATTATTGTTGCAACACCTAGCGACGTATCTTGATAGCGAATGTCATTAAAATTCGAAAATACTGAGATTAATGCATCTACCAAGTCTTCGCTTCTACCAGGGATACCTAATAATGGTTTAATTTGTGAAGCAGCTATATTAATGGACGCAGCTGCAGTGAAACCCGTAATTACGGGTAACGAAATGAAATCCAACAGAAAACCTAAAATCCATATGATTGAAACTCTTTATATACACTCTTTATATATATATAAAAAAAGAGGAATAAATAAGTAAAAATCAATTCATCGCTCACCCAAATGAAGTAATCCAAGTATTGCTATCATACAGCCCTTTAAAAACGAAAGCAATACAGCCATATCGGGACCATATTTTGATACCAAAGGTTGCACCATCGTTGCCATAATAGCAGTTGGTCCAATAGTAATACTTTTACAAGAACCAAAAACAATGTATACGAATGAGGCCATAAAAGATGCATATAATCCATACTGGAAAAAAAAATTAAAAAAAAATGTGAATGCCAAATAAGTAAATATACAATGATTGATATATGTTATATCGTTTCATTTTAATTTACCTCGGGACTTAAGTTAGCAACGATAGCGTAAGCAATACCTTGTGGAATAGCTGTAAGGCCAACGGTTAAGCCAGCTAATGCATCTTGCGCTAACCATGTGAATTTGTAGTCCTTTGCCCACGATAAAATTGGTAATCTTCGTTTGATATATCCATAACAAGATTTTTTGTTACACTGAGACACTTAAAAAAATATATAAGTAATTTGTTTGTAAAATGAAATAAAAGATAAAATAGAAATTTAAATCCTTATCTTCTAACGATATTTCACAAAATTAAATTATGTAAACTCACTTTTCTGATAAAACGTGTTCTTCGCCTTGTTTAACATATTTAAAATTATTTTTATGTGAAATATTAAATACAATAACTTATTATACTTCTATAGTGTATTTACAATTTTAAATAACATTTATTAGTACACATTATTATTAGAGTGATATTTAATATTTACAAATAAATTTTGATAATATAATTTTGATAAATAAAAAATACTTTCAATGAAAAAATGAAAAATAAATATTCAAATTTCTTGTTGTTCTCAAATATAATTATGATACAAAAAGAAGTTATTTATGATAAGGAAACATGAGCTCGATACAAAACACAATCATTCGATAACGTCGTCGATTATAATAAATGCTGTTGCTACTCTAAGAAGTTATAAAAGCTTCGAGTGCCGGTATTTATCCTGATACTCCCACTCCTCGAATACTTGATTTAGCAATCATCATAACTATTAAAGCTATCAAGATATTGAATATTACCTTCTAATATTACCTTCTGTTATCTTCATTATAATTCTTTTCTTTTCTTGTTATAATAATTTTTTCATTAATTATATCTATTCATTATTTTTAAAGAATCATTTAATTATCAATACTGATTTTTTAATGATTTTTTAAAATTAAATTTTAATGATTCAAACAACTTATGATTTCTCTGATGATTTGAAAGAAATTAAAAAGAATGAAAATGTCTGCGCAAAAGGATATTCGATCAAATTGGCAAGAATGAATGGAAGTCTTCAGTTTTCAGTACTAAAATATAAAGCAAAATAAAGATGTTAATATTAATTACTTTATATGTTAGTTACTATAATTTCGTAATTAGTTAACTATTATTATTCAAAAGAAAAAAAAATATTAACATTCAATTTCATTAATTCCATTAATAATCAACCTATATAAAATTATTATCGGACAAAATTCTTAATATTTCATCATTAATAAGATTACTGTAATGTGATAGAAACTAGATTAAAAATTTCTATTAGTCATAGAGTAATATAAAAAAATATTCATTTCTTATATATCATTAATAATGAATGATAATAGTATAATAAAAATTATAAACAAAGAATTAAATGTAATCATATAACATTTAATATAAAAAAAAATATTCATCATCAGCATTCTATTTAATTTATAATTATGTGATTTAAATTAATTCTTATTTTTTTAATATCCATCGATAAATTATCAAAATTAATTTATTACAATAAGCGATTTATTCAGTTTATACAATTTTGAAATTTTCATAACTTGCAATTCTAGATTTTTTATTGTATAACCAAACGTACCAATATATTAATTTATGTATATTATATATTTATTGTATTAATATAATTATCTTATAATGAATATTAATGATTTTCATAAAAAAAATATATTAGAAACACAGATTCATCACAGAGTATCTTGAAATTTTATAACGCATATTAATGATTTTCATAAAAAATATATCAGAAATGCATATATATTACAGAATATTTTGAATTTGTAATAAAATAAAAACAGTGTTTTTCAATAAAATTTATATTGATTATATTAATATCATTCATTTTGCTTTTCAGTTATCTATTTATTTTCTTTTATTTATAATTTTAAATATATCATTATTAATTATTTTAACAATCCATAATTATTTCAATTAATAATCAATGATAATTGAAATTATTTGTATATAGAAACATATATAAATTAAAAGTATAATTGATTAATTATATATTTTGTTTGTATGAATTTAACTGAACTGATATCGTTGATAAAATTAAATACATGTTAGATTAATACGCGAAAACAAAAATCGATCGTTGAACAATATATTAT